TATCAAAGATTTTAGAACTGATCAATGATGAGTTGAGTTCTAATATTATCCAAACCTGACTGAATTTCAAAACATTTGAATTTTGACAAAAGATATCAAAGATTTTGGAATTGATCGATAATCAGTTGAGTTCTAATATTATCTAAACCTGATTGAATTTCAAAACATTTGAATTTTCACAAAAGATATCACAGATTTTAGAATTGATCAATCGTAAGTTGACTTCTGATATTATCTAAACCTCATTGAATTTCAAAACATTTGAATTTTGACAAAAGATATCCCAGATTTTAGAATTCATCAATTTTGAGTAGAGTTCTAATATTATCTAAACCTGATTGCATTTCAAAACATTTGGATTTTGACAAAAGATATCAAAGATTTTAGAATTGATCAATGCTAAGTTGAGTTCTAATATTATCTAAACCTGATTGAATTTCAAAACATTTGAATTTTGACAAAAGATATCAAAGATTTTAGAATTGATCAATGCTAAGTTGAGTTCTAATATTATCTAAACCTGATTCAATTTCAAAACATTTGAATTTTGACAAAAGATATCAAAGATTTTAGAATTGATTAATGATGAGTTGAGTTCCAATATTATCTAAACCTGATTGAATTTCAAAACATTTGAATTTTGACAAAAGATATCAAGGATTTTAGAATTGATCAATCTTCAGTTGAGTTCTAACATTATCTAACCGGATTGAATTTGAAAACATTTGAATTTTGAGAAAAGATATCAAAGATTTTAGAATTGATCAATGATGAGCCGAGTTCTAATATTATCTAAACCTGATTGAATTTGAAAACATTTGAATTTTGACAAAAGATATCAAAGATTTTAGAATTGATCAATGATGAGTTGAGTTCAAATATTATCTAAACCTGATTGAATTTCAAAACATTTGAATTTTGACAAAAGAGATCAAAGATTTTAGAATTGATCAATCTTCAGTTGAGTTCTAATATTATCTAACCTGATTGAATTTGAAAACACTTGAATTTTGACAAAAGATATCAAACATTTTAGAATTGATCAATGATGAGTCGAGTTCTAATATTATCTAAACCTGATTGAATTTGAAAACATTCCAATTTTGACAAACGATATGAAAGATTTTAGAATTGATCAATCGTAAGTTGAGTTCCAATATTATCTAAACCTGATTGAATTTCAAAACAGTTGAATGTTGACAAAAGATATCAAGGATTTTAGAACTGAGCAATGCTAAGTTGAGTTTTAATATAATCTAAACCTGATTGAATTTCAAAACATTTGAATTTTGACAAAAGATATCAAAGATTTTAGAATTGATCAATCTTCAGTTGAGTTCTAATATTATCTAAACCTGATTGAATTTGAAAACATTTGACTTTTGACAAAAGGTATCAAAAATTTTACAATTGATCAATCGTAAGTTGAGTTCTAATATTATCTAAACCTGATTGAATTTCAAAACATTTGAATTTTGACAAAAGATATCAAAAATTTTAGAATTGATCGATGATGAGTTGAGTTCTAATATTATCTAAACCTGATTGAATTTCAAAACATTTGACTTTTGACAAAAGGTATCAAAAATTTTACAATTGATCAATGCTAAGTTGAGTTCTAATATTATCTAAACCTGATTGAATTTCAAAACATTTGAATTTTGACAAAAGGTATCAAAAATTTTAGAATTGATCGATGATGAGTTGAGTTCTAATATTATGTAAACCTGATTGAATTTCAAAACATTTGAATTTTGACAAAAGATATCAAAGATTTTAGAATTGATCGATGATGAGTTGAGTTCTAATATTATCTAAACCTGATTGAATTTCAAAACATTTGAATTTTGACAAAAGATATCAAGGATTTTAAAATTGATCAATTCTAAGTTGAGTTCTAATATTATCTAAACTTGATTGAATTTGAAAACATTTGAATTTTGAGAAAAGATATGAAAGATTTTAGAGTTGATCAATCGTAAGTTGAGTTCTAATATTATCTAAACCTGGTTGAATTTCAGAACATTTAAATTTTGACAAAAGATATGAAAGATTTTAGAATGGATCAATGATGAGTTGAGTTCTAATATTATCTTAATCTGATTGAATTTCAAAAGATTTGAATTTTGACAAAAGATGTCAAAGATTTTAGAATTGATCAATCTTTGCTTGAGTTCTAATATTATCTAAACCTGATTGAATTTTGAAAACATTTGAGTTTTGACAAAAGATAGCAAGGATTTGAGAATTGATCAATCCTAAGTTGAGTTCTAATATTATCTAAACCTGATTGAATTTCAGAACATTTGAATTTTGACAAAAGATATCAAGGATTTTAGAATCGATCAATGATGAGTTGAGTTCTAATATTATCTAAAGCTGATTGAATTTCAAAACATTTGAATTTTGACAAAGGATGTCAAAGATTTTAGAATTGATCAATCGTAAGTTGAGTTCTAATATGATCAAACGGCGATTCAGTATTAACAGATATATATTTGGAAAGAAAAGATGAAATGTTTTAGAATTTTCGGGTTATTGTTGTGGTTTAAATATTTTTGTTTTGGAAGTGTTGAATGAATGTTCAGTGATGGGAGAAATACTATAGGGTTTAAGAATTTATGCATGATTAGGAGTGTTCAAGGCGCATGTGTGGAGTCGGTATTGCAGTTGCTTTTGTAGGTGAGTCTTTTATGATAGCGTTTTGTGAAGGAACCCGTCGTGGATTTGTTTGACTGTGTTGTGTGCGCATTCTGGGGTATTTGTGGGATTGGTAGGCGATTTTGTTGACATTTAAAGTAGCCAGATTGTTGATGTGATTATCTCTATATTTTGTGAGGAGAAATGAACAGGAAGGTCGAAATAGTATATGCTGTTAGGATGATGATAAATGAATTATATTTTGGCAATGATAGTTCATCAATGAGGTGATATGCTGAATGCTAAGCGCATTCAAGGTGGGATAGGAGTGAATGGTATTTGGAAACAGCAGTTAACTTTTATGTGAATTCACTTTCTATGAGAACAAATTTGTTTTCTAAGGGCGGTAGTTTCGCTGAAAGTTTATTGTATTTGAACTTTAATTTAAGAAAAAGTGATCGAGATTGAAAAGTTTTAACAAATTTACGGGAAAAAAAGGAAATATTCTTTTGTGTCGCGTGGTTGTAGACATATCATAATGTTTTTTGATTTTATATTCATGTTTAAATAGATTTCCTGTTGGACTACGGAACGTTGCGGCCTCTCTGAGGGTATTGAAAGTATTGCGGATCTTTAATTAATTTATGATTTATGTACAGTGTTGAAATTAAGTATTGGTAAAAGTGGGAATGGAAATGTTTAGTGGAAAGAAAAAAAGTTGAAGTTTAGCATTACCTATCGTGATAGTTGTATGCTGATATGAACTCTATGATGATTTAGTAACTGATGAGCTACTTCATTGATGAGAATATTAGTGAGCATTTTGATTGAGACCATGTTCCTACGTATTGGCGGATTGTAATGATCGTGAAGTTGAAAGTGTTTTAATGGATTTGTATCATAGAAATCTTTTCTTTTATAGTAAAATCTATCGTGTATTAGAATAATTCTAATCAAAATGATTCTGTCTAGGAATGCACCGGTTTCAGTTCTAAAATCGGAACCGGTGGAACCGTTTGGAACCGATCGGAACCGAAAGCGAAACCGATTGGAACTGATCGGAATCGAAACCGGAACCGACTGGAAATGAGATCGGAATCAGTCAGGACCGATCATCATTAAATTTTTCATTGCCCAGGTCGAGAAGTACGGGCCAGTTCGTGCAGGAAAACACTGGAAATGCTAGGAACTTGGAAGCAGAAATCCGGTGACTGAGTTTATGCAGTTCCGTGCGGAACTGTCCAGAATTTGGCAAAATCGGCAGTTGTATATGATCACCGGTTTCTACGTCGAATTCCTGACATTTTCGGGCAGGTTTCAGCGGAAAATGGTGCCTTCCCTGCGAATTTGCATCGGAAATTCATGGAATGCTGCTTCAGGAACCATCGACTTGAATTTTCCGGTTTCTCTATGCATGCTGTCGACCGATTTCGGTTATCTAGAACCGATCAAAACGGGAACTAGTACATCTCTAATTATTGTATCCATCTTTAGAACGGATTATCGAGTATATGTTAGTATGATAAGATCTCCGTCACTTCCGTTATATGGGCATTTTCAAGCTATTTAGGTGACGTAATTCCAGTCGTTTTGGCTTGATATTGATTGTCTTTTCTATACCCTTTTTTGTTGCTTCATTGTCTGCCTTTCATTAGGAAGGAAGTGTGTGAATTGGGCTGTTGAAGCATATGATGGCTGTGTTATCATTTTTGTATTGCCTGAATTGTTCATTCTGAAATACAGGATGAGACATGTTTTCAAGACTTGTCCTGTTCAAAAGAGGATGTGGGTGCGTGTGTGAGTGTGGGTGTCTATGGCTGTTGCCAAGGAGAAACTATTCACCCACACTCACATCCACGCCCCACGCCCATTTACATTCCCAGCCCACGCCTCACACCCATATCCTTCGACGAAAGACTTTTCTCTTCAGAAATCATTATAAAGCAACAATGGAAAATATTCAGTATAAAAAAAATTGAAGAGCAATTCGAATCGCACCGAACTAAATTTATAAAATAGATTGGATAAGTTTTATTGGAACATTCTACGATTGATGGTCTTTATTAGTAACGAAATTATATACGGAAAGCATTGTAACTGGTGTGCAGACATTAAGCACATGAAAATTTGAGAACAACTTCAAATCCTAGGTATAATATGATGCGGGACAATGTAATATTGAAAACGACATAAACAATTTATTGATTTGAGATTGGTGACAAACTCCGACGTTTTTTTTGTTAATAATCATCGATAGAAAAAACATTTAAAACGATATATTATTAAATAGGTGTACGTCTTGAATAGGTAAATTATTTCGAGTGTTTCTCATCATATTAAGTTTTACCGTAAAAACAAATTTATTTGTTGGAAATAATAGATTTGAATTGATGCATTATTGTTGATGAATTAGCTTTAGCTGATAGTTCATCAAAAACTTCTCGTTCTAATGAAATATCAGTTTGACTTATTTTTAACGCATTGACTTGTTCACGAATTTTTTTTCCATTAATGGGTAATCGATAAACACTTCCAACTAAAGGAAATATAATTTTAGGTTTGAGTGCGTCTTTTTCATTTTTTTACTGTTTGTTTAAATAAATCTATTTCTTTCGTATAATCTTTTATCATTTGTTCAAGATTTTGAATAATATCATTATTTTCACAACCAAAATTTTTTTTTTTCATTTGTTCTTCTATAAAAACTCTAATATATTTTAACATATCGTCATTTATTGGAATAATTGCATTTACATGAAAAACTTTTGAAAGTTTTTTGTATAATTATCTTCTATTTTGGCTTTTTCATCTTCTAAATCACTAATTCCTTTATCAATATCACTTGATGAGCATAGATTGTTAAGACGGCGAACATTAGTTTCATATTCATATGTTATACAGTGATGCTCTTTTCATGAACCACCACATTTTGTACATTTACCCACAACAGGATTTTAAAATACCAATAAAAATAAAGTCAAACCAATTCAAATAATTTATCTCAAATAACAAACTTCATTGATTAATACATGAGTTGTAATATTCAATAGATTCTCATTCATAAATGCTCCTATTCATAGATCGATTGATGTTGGCAAATGTAAAATTCGCTCTAAAATGATCGGTTCAATCAGAGATTGAACGAATTTTAGTATAGTCGTCAATTGAGATATAGATTTATGTGAGATTTGATTAATCGAAGTTTCGTCATGGAATAAATCATCGTTGCTTGTGCGGTCCTAAAATTTCATTGCATCGATAAATGTTATGAAGAATATATTTATCTATCATCAATTTCCTGAAAGTTAAAAAGATGAATAATTTTTAAAAAAATTGAATAATTATTTGAACAAGTATTAAAACATTTTACAATGGTTAAAAAGATTCTTTTTTAAAGATAATAAAAATGATTTAAGATTAGACATGCACCAAATCCAAACTGTTTGAGCTCGAATATATCGGGCTCGACTTGGAGTCCCGATTCGAGCTCGAAGCTCGATTGAGTTCGAACTCGAATATACATACTCGAATTCGATCGAGCTCAAACACCAAAAGCTTGAACTTGATCAAGCTCGACAATGAATGAATAAAGAGCTACTTTTCCATGACTCAAGAACAGTAGCTGCTAGAGGTGCATCATACCCAAGTCCTGTCAAATCCAAACGTGAGATTCGACTGGATTTGGGTTTGAATTTGACTAGATTTGACTTAGATTTCACTAGTGAATTGGAACCATAGGTAATTAGAATCAAGAAATCCGAATCTGCAATCAGCTATTGAAAATTTTGAGTTTGATTTTTTTGCAAGAAATTTCTTTTACAATTCTTTTTTATTAAAAAGATTATTGCTTCAAATAAGAAATCATTTTCTTAGCAAAAAATGTTGTTTTTGTTAGAAACCATATCTTACGAGGGAACCTTTTCAACTGTCCAATCGCTTTTGAGTTCGAACTCAGTGTGAAAGATAGACCCCAGTGAGGTATGAAAAGGCCCAAAAGGATAAGT